ATTATACACATTAGAGGATGAAGTCCTCGGCAGGAAACCAGAGAGGAAGAAAAGTGCAAAAAATTCTCCATAAGAGGCTCTTCATGGTAATGAAAGGAAGTGCTAATTTTACTGAAGAACTTATGATAGCTCACATGTGCTTTCTGTAATATCTTTGTTTTCTCACTCCTTCTCTGATCTCAGAGGAGGGATGCTGAAAGGTTTTTATCGTAATAAGAGAGAGGGCTGAAGAACGGATCCATCATCAGTGAAAGTGTGATCATCTCGGATGATGGCACAGCCCAGTCAAAACGAGTAAATTTCTCCACTGTGAGATCAAATAAAGTCAATAAATCAATCAATCAATCTCAGCAAATATGAGCATCACTGATAGCTAACCAGGTCACAGATAAATCAAAACTTACCATTTCCTCAGAAACATTTCATCTTTTATCTGTTGGCTTCACGCTCTCGGACTGGAAACTAAAGTCTGTCTTTAGTATCACTGAAAAATATGGAGGCACATTAATACAGCACTAAATATTCAAACAAATGTTTCCTAAAGGTACATTGTTGTATTTACACAGTAAAAAGGCCAAAAGTATGAAACCCTAACAAGTAGTAAGGGCATAGAGCTTGTAATCCGGAGGTTCTGAGTTCGAGCCCCACTCCCACTGTCATGATGGGTAAACTGAGAGGCCCAAAATGCAGAACACTGACGACTCAGAGGGAAAGTTTAAACAGTTTATTGAGGAACAAACATGAATGAATGAATGAACAGTTGAACTGGTTCTGGTCTGGGACTGGTTCACTGGAGTCTGTGAGAGAGACAGTACTGTTAGCGGAGGCTTGGTTGGGATTGATCTTGGTTGTGTTCAGGTTTGTACCTTGAGGTGCGTAGAAGTGGCTTTGGGAGCGGAACTGTTGGGTCCGGAGATGACTTGGTTTTGCAGAGTCCGTAAGCTGTTTCAGCGTCTTACTTCTAGAGATGAATTTGACCTTGGCTTGAGTTTTCAGCTCGGTATCCAGAGCTGCTTGGAAATCCAGAGTGTGAGTCTTCAGGTTTGGCTCGGAGGGCAGGCTCGGCAGGTTAAGCTCTTCCAGAGCTTCACAGGAGAAAAATAGGTAACCTGGAAGCAGAGACAAAAAGGGTTAGAATCCAAACAGGACTCAGAGATAACTTGGTTCTCAGAGGATCTATGGCTTAGGTGCTAACCAACTGATTAAGACACTGCAGCGTCGAGGCAAGGTCTGAAGACAGCTTATGTAGTCTGGTCCTCCAGATGAGATGATCAGCAGCAGGTGCGCAGACAGCCCAGCTGAGAGGATCCAGAGCGGACTCTGCTGGAGAAAGTTGGTATTTCTCCAGCTCCCAACACCCACAGACTGCCACTCTGGGTCCCTGAGCAAGACCCTTAAACCCACACTGCTCCCGGGCACCGCATGATGGCAGCCCACTGCTCCCCAAAGGGATGAGTTAAATGCAGAGGTAAATTCCTCCAATGTGAGATCAATAAAATGTTAAATTATAAAAAAAAAATATTAACATAAAAGTTTCCTTTCACATAATAAAGAAATCCAGATGTTCTTGTGTTCAGCAGCATCTTCCAGCTCATCCAGTCAAAAAGGATTAATAGATTTGAAAAGAGGTTTTAAATCTATAGAGAAACGTATGTTAGCTGGATCCAATCCCCACACTGCAAAAAATGTAAATCTAAATAAGTCATTTTTTTCTTAAACTAAGTGCATTTGTTCTTGAATTGAGGAGGTAAGCGAGATACTTTGCCAATGGAACAAGACAATTTACATTTAAAATAAGAAAGAGCAACGGCATTGTCTTATTTCAAGTGGATATTATCTATTAATCTTATTTTAAGAGTAAAAATACTCATTCCATTGGCAAGTCATCCCATTTACCTACTCAAATGAAGGGTAAATATGCTTGATTTAAGACATTTTTACCTATTTCTGGACCATTTTTGCAGTGCATCAGGGGCTGCACTGCACAAAAAGATCTAGAAATAAGTTAAAATGTCTTAAATTAAGTGTATTCACCCTTAATTTGAGCAGGTAGATAAGAAAATTTACCAATGGAATGATTTTTTTTTTACTCTTACAATAAGATAAAGCTCAACGTTATATTTTCATTCCCATTAAACCATATTATGTCCCTTTTTCCTCCAGGTTGCTTTGATTTATTGCTTCTTGCAAAAACATTTCTCCTGTTTCCTTCCCTCCTTCACACTCGGATCATCCTCTGAGGTTGTTTTTGCTTCCTCTGTTCCGTCCAACAGTCCAGCGATTAGAGCGACGGTGTGTTTCTGTATGTCGACATCACTGCCCTCATCGGGGAGCCCTGTTCTCAGACCACACTTCACTTCAGGGAATGGGAAAAGAGTTTTTGTTTTAGGCCTTCTGACTGCTAACGCTGGAAATCTTTGGAAAAAAAATTGTTTAGGTTGTGAAATCGGTTCATAAATCTGTATTTATCCAGTTTTTTTTCCAAAGGAAGCAGACACAGAAGGTTTTTGTTGTGTTTTCTTTTGCTAAATCAGGCAGGTTTGTTGTGTGCTGGGAGCGACCACTTTATTCACAGACAGGAAATATGACCTTAGCAATCACTTGGCTGACTTTTTAAACTGGAAATAAGGAATTCTGTTATTATGTCTGAAAATAACAGTTCCTTGAGAGAAGCACCTTTGTTGATGTGGATAAAAGCTCCTAATAATCCAGAAACCGCCATCCTAAGACTCAAAGAATAGTACCCCCCATCAGAGCTGCTGGAAGTAATTTTGTTTTTGTTTTTTTGGACAAAATACCTATAAGTGTCATGAAACGGTGTTTGTTGGAGGACCCAAACGCAGAGACCAGTAGGCAGAGGTGAATTAAAGTCTGTTTATTCAGGTTAACAGATCCAGGGGCAGGAATCAGAGTCCAACTGAAAATTACAAACGTACCAAAACCAAGGAGACATCAGGGGTTAACCAAAACCAGAGGCCAGGGAGAGATGAGACAAGGCAGGCAGATGATAGACGGGAAGTGAGACGAGGATCCAGCAAACAGGAACTGAAGAGGGAGGGCTTTTAAAGGGGACAGAGACAAAGAGAGAGCTGACGAGGAAATTGACAACAGGTGCAGGCAGAACAGAGAAACAGAGCGAGGGAGGACACAAGAGGGCAGCAGAGGACAACAAATGGAAAACCAAGAAAAACAGGAACAAACAGACCAAGACTCTGATAATAAGCCTATAGACCAATTTAAAATGTGATCAAATAAATTAGTAAATAGATTCACTACTTTATTGTCATATACACTTCAGTGCACGCAAGCAGAGTCAGTAACACAAAGACATCATTAAACACATTAATCAGTTCTCAGGTGACTAAAAGCACTATTAAATAAATTGCACAATAAAAAATCTTCAGTGGCTTTACGCCAATTTGAAAATGCGGCAGTCATAAAGGGGTCGTCTTTCTTAAATTTGTCTCTATGTTAAACTTTTGTCGGACTGCTTTCAGACAAACGAAACACAAAATATAATCATTATCTTCCACATAATGCAGCCATTGCCACCTAGCAAACCAAGCCGGTGCCACAGAACGTGAGAATGTTTAATTCCCAAGACGCTGTGCAGGAAATTTAAAACTGGATGTTTGCTGGAAGGGCTTCTCTAATCCAATAACTCTAGGCACGCGCCTTGCGGATAGTCTCCTCACTGCGGCTGCTCTCTGTTGTCATGGTTGAAGTACTACTGTAGTGTTCGTCTGCACTGGTGGTGGTTTTCTAGAAAAATGTGTTTCTGTCATTAGACTATATAAATGTATTAGTCTGCTGTTGCATGCAGGATAACTTGACAACGATTAGCTGGCGTGATGTTGGCATGACAACGAAACTTATGTGAACTTGTGTTGATTAGGCCTCAAAATAATTGAATTAAAATCCAAATACATGTAATAGTTAAAGACTAAATCATGACAGAAGTCATGTTTTAGATTTTGAATCTTTTTTTTCCTAAATGGCCATTTACACAAACAGATCTTATCCACCGTGTTACCTTCACTGCTACAAATTCACTCTGATATCTGTGGATCATGCTGGGAACCGTTTAGCCAAAAATCAACATTAAGATTTTTCTCAACCAATGTTTTTATTTGATTTAAACTTTTTCTTAACCACATGGAGATGTTTCATTCCTGGGTTTTTTTTGTTTCCGTGGCCTTAAACTTTGTATAGAGAACTGATGACTTCTAGCATGCATGGATCTGTGTGCTAGCTTCCACTCTCTCTTCCTTTCTATCTGACTTCTATTCACTTAAAGTAGCACTGCCACCTAAAGGGTTGGAGTAAAAAATTGTTGCAAATGAAATGTTTGCTTCATCATTTGGAAATGATGTTTCATTTAATTGCAGACATTGCAAATGCATTTATTTGCCCAGCTAGAATACAGCAGATATATTTTGGTTTGTGATTTCAGCTCTTTGATGTGGAGGTGAGGAATCATCAATGCCAATATTTATGAGGCATTGGTACCAGAAAGACCCAATCAGGTGTGCATTATTAGAAACAGACTGCTCCCTTATGGAAGCCAGCTATATATATTTAATCTAGATTTGATATTGACCCATTTAGTTGAGTCAGATGATCATCGTCATCTTTGGTTCCGCATCCAGGCTTTTATTTTAGAATTTTTAATCCATACTAGTCACTCTTGATCTGTCTCCTCTGATAGACACCAGCTTTTTAATCTCCAGTACCATAAATCGTGTTGATGTCTTAGTTTAAGGTGGATCAGCCACTTTACCTGCTGCCAGAATCATAATGTATCCTGTTGGAGAAAGTGTTTTTGTGAAGGTGTTCACTCATGGCAGCTCTGTGGGGAATTACCTCCCAGCACAGAGCGATGGAGGAAAAACTAACAAAGTTGGACTCATTTTCAGGCGACTGAAGCCTTTCTAATGGCTGAGGGGTCCCTACGTTATAATGATCTGATCTTTCTGTTTCCTTCTTTCTTGGCCCAGCAGAATTCACCGGGCCTGCTGAGTATGCCCCGGAGCCCCACCTCCAGCGAGGATGAGATGGCCCAATGCTTTTCCGACTACTCCGACGACTGCCCCTCTGACAGCTCCCGCGAAGACACCATCTACGAGACGATAAGAGCAACGGCCGAACCATCGCAGAACCACATGGACGACATTCACACAAACTCCATGGTGATCCGGGTCCTGATCCCAGACCTGCAGCAGACGGTGAGGGTTGGTTTAGGGGAACTGGTTTAACCATTTAGATTAGATTAGATTAGATTAGATGAGCTTTATTGATCTCACAGCAGAGAAATTCACTGGTCACATATTGGCATAGTAATTAAAGAAGGTGCAAACAAGGAGGAAAAAGGTGCATTAAGTAATCTAACTACTTCTACCATATGGTAATGCTATTGCATTACATGTCTTTCGCTGAGGACCTTCTCTGTGCAGCAGGCAGAGAGAATTTACTAAAGGACTGCGCAGCTCAGATGGAGGCACAGCGATTGGCTGGGGAGTGAGTGGGGAGTCTGTGGATGTTCAGTGTTTTACACAAACGGAGAAAAAATTGGTGATGGGAAAAAGCCCTACAGCTCAGGGATGGCATTTCTGACCTGATAGGCTAAATGTTGCTTATTTGGTTTTTACATTTGGAGGACAAGGACTTTATCCACGTCATTTAAAAGCAGCTCTGATTTAATGAAGCAGTGAATTACAGTTGGAAAATGGCTACCATTTATCAACACATATCTACTATGTGTGGTGAAGTTTTAACCTTAGGCCGGTGAGCTAAACTGAATCGTTCAATTCCATTTGCAGAGCGAGATCATCTGTGGTAGCAGCACTAGACATCTTCCAGGCATGTGAGGAAAACTAGCAGCAGGTCAGCGGACAGGATGAATGAATGGTAGCCGGCGCACGCGGATGATGTCATACACGCTCCGCTTTGTTTAAAAAATATATATTAATATAAAAAATATAACCGCGGATGTCTGGGGGACATTGATTCGCCTACATGTTATGAATGCTGCCGTACCATAAAGAATAAATGATGAACAGTTTAGTTTGTGGCTTCAACTAATTGCCCATAGGAAGACCTTACTTAGATATAACCAGAGGTGGAAAAAGTACTAAAATATCATACTCAAGTAAAAGTACCAATACTTGGATGAAATATTACTCAAGTACAAGTAAAATTACCCATCAGAAAAATAGTAAAAGTAATAAGTAGCTAATTTAAAATGTATTTTAAGTAAAAGTTACTTAGTTACATTTAAAAAAAAAAAAATGTTGAACGGGGCAGGGGATCTCTCCCATGTGGTGAAAATGGGACAAGGAGTCATTAATCCTAAACTATTTAGTTTTTAATTAAAGAAAAATCTATACAAATGTATACACATGTAATGACAAGATAACACATGTCACACATGACATTTAAGACCCTTAGAAAGGTATAATGTGCAATTTTAGTTCAGACAATCCCATAAAACTTTTTCAAACAATCAATTGAAGGTAAAAGTGCCATAAATTGTTGGTTCTGAGGGCCGTCCTTCTTTTCTTCAAACATTAACTAGGGATGCACGATATAATCGGCCCCCTATCGGTATCGGCCTTAAAACTGAATATCGGACATCGGCCACCCCACCGATATTTAACCCGATATTAGATCAGCTTCTGAGTTTCTAAAGTCTAAAAAAATATATAAAATAAAATACTACTCCTTCTTCTTCCTCAGAAACTTCTTTTTTACAGACTTAAAAACTTCTAAAGACGAGGGAAAAAATATTGATACATTAAAATATCACAATATCTTCATATGCTGATATATTGCCATTTAAAAACACCATATCAATCTCTTTTTCTAATGAAATATTGCTATATGTCATCGTTATGCTACGAAATCCCCCGAAAATTCATGAAATTTTGCCATATTTTTATATGTTGATATATTGACGCGGTATCGATCTATTTTACTAACAAAATCTCACAAGAATTTGCAAAATATCATGAGAGTTTTTAACAGAACGATGAAATTTCACGAGATTTTGAAAGTAAAATAGATCGATACCGCGTTTTTAAAAATCTATTTGATATCAGCATATGAAAATATATTTGAGTATATTATTTTTCAAAGTGTCAGAAATGGATAACAAAACTGCTATTTTCAATGACTACTTATTTTTGTCCAGCTTTAACATCGGTATCGATATCGGTTATCGGCTACATGGGTTTTAAAATATCGGCATATCGGATATCGGCCAAAATCCCTAACATTAACAACAGTTATTAAGAAGCACTATACAAATGCAAGAACAACATAAAATGGCCGCCTCACCAAGATAGTGCTGCGGGAAACACTGACTTAAATGAAATACTTAGTTTTTTTTTTAGCAATTTATTTTCCCAAGCCACTCAGAGCCGCAGTATAAGGATGAAAGAGCCGCAAGCGGCTCCGGAGCGGCGGGTTGCCGACCCCTGTGCTAGACAAAATTAGCAATGCCACGAAACAGGTTGTTTTGCAAATTGGCTATTAGTCATGAAAACTTTGTTTGAAGTACCAATGCACTAAATACTTACCAAAACATGCTTCCGCAGATTAGATGTGGAGTTATTGAATGCTGCCAGTTCAGTCACCTTTGGCAGACACATCTGGCATTGCATGATGATACTGTTGGCCCTCTTGAATTTAAAAGAAAAGCAGTCTTTCAAATGTGGCCATCGTCGTTTTGGGCAGCAGAATTCGATGTTTCAGCTAGCATTTCTATTGAAACGTTCTCTGAACCGTCATCGCTCTCCTGATCCACCTCCATCTCGTTCCCAATCTCCTACAGAAAGACTTGGCGCCTGGTAGCCTAGATCTACATGCTGATCACGTCACTCACTGTAGTGCTTCCAGGCCCATTTTTTTGTCTTCCTTTCGGTTTTCCAAAGTTTTTTTTTACTCAGTAACGGATATGTAATGTAACAAAATACAATACTGTACTTTACTCAAAACGTAATCAAGTAAAATTTAAATTACCGATTTTAAAACTACTTGAAAAATACAAAATACACAAAAAACCTACTCAGTACAGTAACTTGAGTAAATGTATTTCGTTACTTTCCACCTGTGGATATAACCTAACCAAATAACGGCTCCAAATGACACAAAACTAATATGGGTGAGTAGAACATGTTGTAATAACGTACAATCAAGGGCCCAATGTAAAGAAAACGGTGTTCCCCTTTAAATAAAATGTAGTGTCTGTGAACCAGCAACATATTTCCAGATGGAAAGCTGTATTTTTTTCCCTGTATCACTGGTCCAGAGTTTAATTACACATTCAATGATCAGATCTCACCTTCACTGCCATCGTTGAAGGTGAGCCATTTCACAGCTTTACTGAAATTAGTCAGAAACATACAAATAAACACAAAAGGAAGGAGCACGTCCTTCCTTTTGTGTTTGTTCACAAGCATGTTATTTTTTCATAGCATTGATAAACATCTCTAATTAAACCTCCTTTAAATTTATCTTCATATAACATGAAACTTCTGGCCAGTTAGTTTAGGAGGCTAATTATCGGCTCCTGAAAGCTGCACCAGGGTTTTTTTTTTTTAAGTCAGCTTGTCACATTCTTTTCTCACCTCTTTGTGTTCAGATGTGAGGAATTTAATGAGGTGCGACGAATAGGATTCACGTTCCCTCATTTTCCTGATGATACGCAGAGGAGTGTGAATCATGAGTGGGAGACATGGTGGGCTTCAAATATACTGTACGTGTAGTTTTTAATTTCACTGCTGAATAAAAAAAAATGTGATTATAATCAGCTATGAGAATGTTTATTTTCAGTTTTTTTTTCACAGATGGTAAAACTGGAAGGCATTTATCACCTCATGCTAGAGTCTCTACTGTTGCCCCCAATGGTTTAAATTGGGATCTTTAAAATGTAGGCAGTAAATGAAACCAACTATATATTTATTTTTATCTGTTTCTTTTTTATTGTTTCTATTTTTTATTTCTTAAGCCTCTGTTTAGCTCAGCATTAATGAAGGAAAATGAATAAACTTGGGACGTTATCGTCCCATTAAATTGCCGCACAGTCTGAAGCTATTAAACGGGACTGATAAACGCTAATAACGGCCATTTAATGGTTGATCGCATCTGAAACAGGTGAATAAACTGAATTGAAGGAAAACTGTTAATCTGTTTAGGGTACATTCATTTTTAAAATACTTTTTTAAGCACAAAGGGGAGATAAATTATGCTTTCACAGTGCAGAAAGTTTGGCTGCAGAAGTAAAAATTATGTAATTTGGGTGTGCAGACCCCACAGACTCATACTGCAAAAAAATAATTAGATATAAGTAAAAAAAGTTAAAAATTTTTAAAATAAGAAAATGTTTCCTAAATTTAGCAGAAAAGAGAGAGACTTTGTCAAAGGAATAAGACAATTTACATTTAAAAAAAAAATCAATTTCATTGTCTTATTTCAAGTGCATATTATCTCCTAATTGTATTTTAAGACATAAAACTAATTCCGGTGGAAAGTCATCTTATTTACCTGCTCAAATTGAGGGTAAATAAACTTAGTTTAAGATATTTGACTTATTTTTAGGTTTTTGCAGTGCAATCAGGCTTGAAAAGCTTCTTCCATAGTTTGCCTTCCTTCAGGTTTCCATGGTATCCTACCCCTGTTTGTTTTAACAGGCTGAACACATCCAATAATACGTTCCAGTGTTATTTCTACAGTGACCTTATCAGCACGGTTGTCATGTATGTGTTACTCGTTAAAAGTCATCACCACTGAGATCTCAGCTGAGCAAGGAGGGCGTCAGTTTCAGTGCTGATGGAAGGATTACCAAGGATTACTAATGATATATTTAATCTCTCTAAATTAAAGGTGGATCTTCTAAATTAGCGGAGAACTTCCTCCTTTGTAGCAGTTTTCTTTCCTTTACTGGAAGAGTCTGTTTAGTTAGGAGGCTCAGTTTAAGCTGCAGGATCATTTAAATCAAATTAGGGATCTTCACTACCTGACTTTTGTGAGTAAATACAAAACATCACATGATGAGGTGGAATTAGTGCTGAGAAGCGGAGCTTGAACATCAAAATCTGATTGAATCCCATGTTTAATTAATCTGTTGGCTTTTATTGAAGCACCATCCTTCTGAAGCACATTAGCAGCAGCATAGTTGCTGCTGTTGTTTCTCTTAGTCCCAGAGAAGCTTTAACAAGAGGAAGAT